GAAATGGTTTCAGAAACTATCACTAGAAGTCAAAGATGACCTACAGAATGGTACTGAGTGAAACAAGGTGATGCGTAACACAGGTGGCAAAACGACGATAGACGAGAGGATCAATGACAGGTACAGATACGATGATGTTAAAAAGTGAAAAACCAGGTAAGTAGACAGATATCGGGGACAACTGTATATCCTGTGTTCCAAATTTTATTTTCAATTCATTAAATGATTAAGGAAATGCAGGCTAAAAGGGTTATTAACATACAAACTGATTTCACATAAATGAGTTTGTTGTTTTGCATTCTATTCACACATTGTGAGTAAAGAATGCATAAGTTAGGCGGGATGCAGCAATGTTACACCTTCGATATTTTACAGAAGACCATTCAGCAATAAGGTATTTGTGATGGACAACGTGATAGTATAGACGTCTTTCAAGTTTCATGAAGTCCAGTAATCCCACCAGTTCTCATATTATAAGAGAATGAGGGGTGCACAGGCTTCACCAACCAGCGCAATTTTTTTTCATCAGGACTCACATGTTTGTATTCAGAGCTTCAGCTAGCCAAGCCCCAGCCAGACCGTAAGGGTCTGTTCCACCGTAGAGCTGATTCTTGAAGTGTGGGTGACATGTCTGAACAGAGTAGGTGACAATGTCACGACACAGATGGAGAAGTTCATCTTCATGTACACCCTGAGCATCTGGCTCTAGGCTTAAAATTTCCTGTAAATCACACAAGAAGGAAGGGCACTGCTCTATTAATGTGATAACATTTTCAAATACATTAATTTTAGTGAGAACCCTACAGCCCATAAAGAGTACAACACTGTCTTGAAGAATTTATAAGGGTTGCAATGGGCACATTTGACTTACGATTTAAGTGACTGATTGACCAACTAGCCAATCTCTGGTTTCAGAACTCACGTGTTCGAGACTGTAAACACCACATTCGATCCAATACGCATCTCCAAAATCCATTTCCTTATGTACATTTTAAAATGATCCTCCATCTCTGTCCCAGTCTTCCAATGAATTCCTTGCTTCTCCTAACCATATTGCACATCCAAGCAATCATAACTACCATAACAACGTGCAAAGTTCACTTTTATATGCCTATAAGCTCACAGTCTCACAACCAATTTCCTTAACATCCACTTTCAATATTACCCATCCATTTTTAATTTGGTCTTCCACGTGTACACTTTCCAATCAAAAGCAATACAAATTTGAAAGTTCAATCACCAACAGCATTAAGTGAAAGAGTATACATCATAAAACCTCTCACTACACAACTTTCTTCATTCCTTCGTAACACCTTTACACTCCTCGCATAATTACGGGCATTTCATTGGTACCCTTGGTAACTGTGTCTCATACTCCAAGAAATGTTCATTAGTTCTAATTACCCCACCTCCGCTGACAAGTTTATGCTTTATTCAGATGAAGTTTATATTAGGGGAGATCATTCATTCTTAATATGGAGTATGCTTTGTAGTTATTGAAATTTGCATCACACCAACAGCAGCAGATAAATAATGAACATCAAATATTATTATTATTTTATCTCATGGGGGAAAATCAGATTGCAGGGAGACTATTGTTAGAAACTAAATATTAATTAATTCAAAGCATGATTTTTGTCAAAGATAAACAATTAAAAAATACACAAATAAGAATTAAGTCTAATATGTCTTAAATGCTAAAGGTACTGGTATGCATTCTTAACAGAATGAGAGTAATTGAAGTTGTCGAAAGCAGTATATTTTTACAAAACGTGAGAATTCAACACCGCATATGAAGGCAGCATGCTCCTCCAAACCGTTGGTAAATGCCTAGGATGTTTGAGAATAGGTCGGGAGTGCTGCGGACGAAAGTTGTCGTGGCCTACCACCCCAGGAAGAACTTCTCTGTATGAAATGGGCGCGGACTGTTAGCGAATTTCAAAACCACCACTGGTACTCACTCGCAGCTTGTCCGGATGTTCAAACCTCACCACTGGGCTCTTCCGGGATGGCTCGAGGATTCCCATGTCGCACAGAAGCTGCAGAATCCGTGCCAGGATCACGACACCTGGACCACACGTCTCTCCGTTTTTGCATTGGTCCGCCATGTTAAAAACTGAGGGGCAGGCAGCTACCTGATAACGGGTATTGATTCAACAGTTACGTCCGCACGCGCAGCGGTCCCTACAGAAATGTGTTGAATGTGACAATTTCGGGGGACATGAAATAAAATCTCTTGTATTCAGTGACATTTTCCTCTTCAACAGATAAGCGCAACTATACCGCGTTCCAGCGTTCTTGGCCGCTGAACTTGTGAATCGGAACCTCGGAGCGAGTAACACCTGAAATTTGCTGGAAGGGATGGCAGCAGGCCGCGTACAGTACGCTCCAAATAAAATATCACAACGGTATGCAACACAGGAAAGTCGATTTCACTAGACGAAACATCACTAGAAAATTTACACTACAGACAGTATCAGATAATTTCATCTTCTTCGCAACTCTTCGGTCCTCTTGCATTCTTGCTTTCTGACATCATTCGATTCATCACTACAGCCTTTCTGACATCATTCGATTCATCACTATCTTATCTTCTTCGCAACTCTTCGGTCCTCTTGCATTCTTGCTTTCTGACATCATTCGATTCATCACTATCTTTGCTCCTGTCCACTCCATTATCTTCAATTATAATACGTTCAATACGTACGGCGGAAGTCTGAGCAGAGTACCAGGTCCAGGACTGAGGCTGTACAGACCTCAACCTCACACCCTATCTCATATTTAAATCAAGGATAACGGACAGGTACGGTGTTGGGGGTGGGTTGAAACCCTCATCAACACAGACATCACGAAATAACCACCAAGCTTGGGTGTATTTTGTCACTAAATTCCAATTCCTGATGAAATGAAATCTCTACTAGTCCAAATATGTTTCGCCATTTAGGACTGAACATGGCATCCAATTCGCTGGCACTCGTGCTTCATATTCGGAAAGGCCTAGGCTCAAATCTCGACCTGGGGCCCAGCTGTCTGGACAGGTTTCTCTCAGTTTCCTTCAGTCCCACCAGTCAAATGCCTGTATAGTAAATACAAGTGGGTCATGGCAACTTCCTTCTACATCTCTTCCAATTTATTATAAGGTTATCATTCTGTCTCACAGCATGAGCTTTTGAGTCGTTAAATAATCCAGATAATTAGTACATGGCATTAGTTTCTTGCAATGTAATCGAACTGTTACATCAGCCATATTGTCATGAAGGGACTCCTACAGAACTTCTGAACTGTTAACAGGAATGTTCTAACATATGCAATTGGCTGGTGCAAAATAAAGTCTAATTATATTTTAAATTACCAACAAACTGATCATTTTATTTTTTTATCACATTACTTTTAATTCCACTGGGTATTTAGTGTCTCAGTAAACCGGGGTGACCAGTTTTTCGAAGTGCTGTTTTCTTTTGTTATAACTGATACAGATTTTTCAATATGGCGGACATGCAGCAAAGATTGCAGTCTTCTGGGTTACTGCACCATGTAGTCTGGTACATGTCCACCACTGTTTCAGAGATCCATGTTGCCTCCATCACCAGGGCCACAATAAAACACAACCATTCCTTTCGATCCATGGATTGTACATCAAGTTTTAAGAAGATTACACGAGGAAAAATCTTCATGTGGTCGAACAAAATGTGAACCAATTGTAGTAATGTCTTTGCCCCCTTTGCCATGAAACAGATTTCAGAATTGGCAAGTGTCAAGTATCTAACGGTTATGAATGATACATCAAATCACAAAAATCTGTAGTTAGTGCCTGTTCTAGTTCAATACTTTACTCCAGGGAAGAAAGTTCAGGTCAAAGTGATAATTTTCATAACTTAAAACGCCAAACGTCTGATATGGAACGACATACTTCATGTACTGCATAAATACAAACCATCAGGCAAAATTATTGCCTTCTGTGAGGGAAACTGTAACAAAAAATTTGGAGGGGCAAGGAAAGGAACGCTCTTCTGTCATATTTAGAAAGATGGGGCATCATTGTTCTCCCATTGGACACTACATAAGAATATTACTACTTAGGAGAAAATACTACACATTACAAACCACATTGCCAATGTTGACAAAAAATTGACAGTGGAACCACGGTTCCGGAGAATCTGACGTAAATACGTGTCTGTATTTAAATTATATTTAAGCAATAAATACAATGAAAGGCAGCTAGCTGATTGCAATGTCAAAATTATCTAGTCTACGACGCACTTCTTCTACAAGCGATTCACAGTTCAGCTCTTTCCGCAATAATGAAAGCGGATTGTTGACAGCAGTAATGTAACACAACAATGCCGAGTAAACAGACGACATTTCCTAGGTAACATAACAATGCAACAACAGATAACCATTGTCATCGATTTGTTGATACGGATCTTACACATTTTCGTTCCACTTTTTTGCCGAATGACCCTTCCGTATAGACGTATTTACGTCAAAAATATCTAAGATTTTAGATGAATTTATTCATATTGCAAATAAGGATGGATGGATGGAATACAAAACCACTTACAACTTTTGAAAGATGGTCTGAAATATTGGAGTTTGTGCAAAGTAAATGTATTTTATTAAAAAACACGCAACTGATTTTGGAGTTCCCTTTTGGCATTCGTGGTCTTGCGCCCAATTTGCTGCCACTTCTCTTCCTTCATTCCTGATATTCTGGAAAGGACATGATTTAAAACACAATAGGAATTTCTTTATAATGATAAAAGCTACAACATTTCATACAATAGGTTTAGAACATCAAGGTAAATCATAAAATTATTTAGTTCATAACATTTGTCAGAATAATTACAGATCACTAGGTATATTCTTGGCAAGATATGCAATTTAGATGCAAAAAGAAAAAATTACAGAATCTAAACGCTAAGATAACTGTGTTAAATGTTTAAATATTATGATTTTTTTAACATACTAATAATCATGAGCCTTGCAAAGAAGCTTCTTATAAAAGGATAACCATCAACCACTTTATACACATTTTATGAATTACAGGCAAAACTAAAAGCTTTTACGGCCTGCCAAGCAGCAGCTTCAGGAAGATACAAACTGATGGTTCAAATGTATAGTGCGCGTACACTACTCATGAAGACAAGTAACAACGGCAGCAGTTGATTGAAGTCAGTCTTGTGATTTGCACGGGTTTTTACAGATCCACAGATGCTCGCTACAGAGGCCTACATCCCGGTACTCCGCACGGCCACAGTTCAAATACAGCAGAGAGTAACGCGGACAGGCAGTTTAAAATATTAATAAATTAGGAAATAAATTAAAATTATTCACACACAAGGCAAATGTCATAAACACGACGATACAATTCTTTCAGTGGTACGTCTCCAGACAAAGCATCCATGGCTCATGGCTTAATTTATGCTACTATACAAATTTTAATCAGTGTTATTCATACGTTATCACACCTAAGAAATACTTTTTCATTTTCCGTTACCTATAAATAGTTTGTGCCGCACATTACTAACTTCTTGCAACTGTACAGAAATCAAACAATCCTTCCCTTCAATTCCAAATGTCACGCAAAAGCATTTATTTGCAAATAAATATGTTCAGATGTGCTACCATCACACTAATACTGCAGCGTTAGACAGACCAGTCCTTAGGCAAGATTGGCAGCACTGCAAGGAAGAACAGATTTTTGAAGGTTACTTAATGAGAAAAAGCACATGGCAATGTTACAGCTGTCACTGCTCGTTAATTAAGTTCCATGCATTCTTAACCTCAACACTAGATGGAGGTGAGAGGTCAGTTTCATGCCACAGGCACTTTATCCCTGGGGAAGGACACCCTAGCACCCGCTGAGCAGAGGCTGGATGCGCATCAGGGCTGCTCTGAAAACTCTTGTGGCAGGCACCGAGTATTTAAAATTAAAACACTTTGTGTTCTGCAAACCTTGCTGACCAGGAACTGGAAACAAGCAAACATGAACAGCATTCCATTGTAATTGACATCGTATTAATCCTCTGGACAAGATACTGTAGAGAATGTAAACTTCTTTTAGTTTGACGTATTTTATTGTGCCACAGATGTTATTATTACATAAGGAATTTTGAGAATCCATACTCTCCTTTCACGTTTGTGTCTACAGAATTAATTAGAAAGAACAAATGAACTCTGGAAAATCACATACTACGCACTTACTTCAACGTAGCATGATATTATCTTTGCTGCACTGGTACTAAAATGTCGTCACATACGAGAAGAGATATCGTGATCCAAACCATCGTAATGAACGTGTCAGCGGCAAACAAGAAACTTCTGGTACAACTCGAGAAATGCCATGATGTTTCCTCCAGACATGCCACTGAAGAAGGAACTTGACTCGGTCTTCACATCTAATTTTATTGCCTTGCGCCAAGAAACACGTCACGCCAATTTTGGTGCCACTGACAATGACCCATGAAATATATTTATAGCTGCAAAAAGCAACTTGTAAGCACAGCACCCTCCTACATGTACATATCATGGTCAAATTTGACATTTCAAATAGGTTTTGAACTGGGAAGAAAAGTACGTATTCAAGATTTACAGTTCAATTATTCTTGTGTTATTTAACAAGAAAAGGCTGTACAAACATAGTCACTTTTGAAGCCAACAGATACAGATGATAAATTACATTCAATAGTGTTAAAAATTACGTAATGTTGTATAAAAACTGATAAAATGTATAAATTTCAACATTCAAATAATTCTAACTATAAAGAATGTTACAAAAACACACTTTCCTTCCCATTCAAATTTCACAGTTCATGCGAAAAATGGTGACACCTCCGAACTCAAATCTAATCCTCAGTCTCTCTCCCAACTGCGCCTCATCAAAGGCATCATACACAGCCGATGAAAGTGCGCGTCGAGTTCACATGTGAGTTTCGGGCTCATTCAACATATCGACTGACGTGGCAAGACCTCTGTGGCCTGCCAACTGCGGTGCCATCATCTCAGCGCGGACTTCATCTAGGACTTTGCTCAGCACTCGCCTCACTTCTCGACTGTGCGGTGGCGCAACTCGTAGAGCCTCCTGCACATCATCCTGTGCATCCTTGAACATTCTGTTCAGAAAAGCCATTACAATTACTACATACAACGCTGTAACAGTACAATATCAAATGAAAGAAATCAATGCAGTCATTCCTACCAATCTACCACAATCTCACAGAGCAGAATTATCATGCGCGCTTATTATGTTGCCGGCACAGTCAAATACTGGCTGAATTAGAAATCCTGCCGCCTTTAACGTTGCCAAGGCCAGATACCAGCGAACACATTGTATCAACATAATCTTATGCAGCTTCATAACATTATTATTGCGCACTTCATGAATATCTGATGTACGCCACACTCAAAACTGAAATACGAGCGTTTTACCGTTAAAACTGAATCACACAAAACACTTAAGAAGAAAAAATATGCTTTAACCATTTGTTTCATGACAAAAAATCTCTTAAACATAAATAAGTTAAAACATTTGCCTCAGAGGTGGTGGTGGCCTTACCTGCCCAAATTTACCTGGGTGAGCTGACCAAGTCTCCTCCAAAATTAATTGCGTCATTCTCGAATATAAGGATTGCTCTTTCTAAGTGATTCACGTTGACAGTGAATAAGAGCGTCTACTGACGGATGCAAGTTGCTCATAACAAACGCAAGAAGTTTTTACAATATCAAGCGGCTAGTCGCGACACCAGGGTTGCCTTCATGCCGAAACACGGCACACAAAGCGCAACTCGACGTGTACTGATAACAAGGAATCCTTACCTTAAATCAACCCTTGCTTTTGCTCTGGCATAGAATGCTTCGAACGATTCAGGCTTCAACTTCAGAACCTGGTTAGCCAACTCCACGGCCTCTTGGCAATCCTGAAATCAAGACACTCTGATTGGGCACATGCTACTTTCCCACACAGTACTTCGTGTTGGTGTTAAAATCAAAACTAACAATAAGGCAAATGGAAAAGATTAGCAGTCACATTCAGACACTCGTTACTAGTATCAAATCACGTCTTCTCATTTTCTTCCAAGTGTTTGAAAAAATGTACTGCAATCGATTACAGGTAATTTCCCCGTGATCACGCATATCTCACTGGCCTTCATATTTTGTTGTTTGATGATGAACCATTTCTAAGAAAAAATTACCTGACATTCCATTTGAGTTTCGCATAAAATGTTGGTTCCACTGGACCAAACTGAAAGACTCAACAACTTTTACAGCAGATCTTCAATACCAAATTTAATCAAGATCCAATTAATTTTAGAGATAAAGTGTGAGTATGCCTGACAGAACATACCAAAGACTATAAGATTAAAATAATAAATTTATAATTACAGATGTCGTTTTGCATAAATATGAAACTTGTTCTCTCACACTATGGAAGGGACAGAAAACAGAATACTGAAAGGAACATTTGACCAGATATCAAGCAACAGATGGTGGGGAAAGTTACGTAATGCACAGCTTTACTTAATAATCTTACTAATTTATGGTGATAAAACCCAAGAGGCCGAAATGTGCATAATACGCTTCATAGCCAAGGGTAGAACTTGTTTGGAAAATATAACTGATGGATACCCTTGGGATAATGAAATTTAATCTACTTACAAGTCTACAAGGTGTCATAACCCAGAAGAGCATCGTCATGTTAGTACATTCACACGAAAGTCAGAACTGCCATAAATGTCACTTACACCCATCTTCCGTTTACAGCGCGACTGGTTCAGTAGGAAATTTATGTGAAGTTGCTCGAATGTGGCTGTATGTTCACCCAGGTCTTCAGTGGGGAATTTCTTGAGTGCGTATTGGTAACGATGAGCAGCCTCTTTCAAGCGGCTCTTCCTGTACAGGACATTGCCATCTTCCAGTAGCTTGTTCAGTAGAATCAGCCTGCAGGAAAAGATTGCCATGAGCAACATCCATTAATGAACTGACGGCACAGCCCGCAGTGCCTGCCCACTCTTCCAATGTCTGGGATAAGAACGCGCGGAGTTCTACTTACAGTCCCAAAATAGATGTTCGTGGTGCGGTGCAGAACACAAGGGCAAGACGCTTGAACATTGAAGTAAACAAATAAACTTACATGATTTCTGGCTTGCCAGCTGCCATCGCCCATGTGGCCGGACCAAGCTTGGCACCTTTGCGCAGGAAACAATGAACCACCTGCGTGTTGCGGCAGCCTATGGCTCGGTCCAGCGGCCGCATTCCATTGATGTCCACGTGCTCAATCATTGCCCCTCTCTCCATGAGAAGCTGAACCCAAAACAGTTTTTTTAAGTCTCCACAAAACAATCGAGGGTATCCAAAATTACTTGTATTCAACAAGTGCCACATTTGAATTTCCAGATGTTCCCGTGTCTCTAAATGAATTCCAGGATAGTGCATTAAAATAGAGTGTAACTGCCTTCTTTCACACTCTTATCTATTCACCATTCATGGAATCTTCCCGCCTCGCCATCATTATACATGATCAACAGTTGAAACAGAGTAATAAATACCACAAAATTTCTTAGTTAATTAGCCTCCAAGCCAAGAACTGAACATGGAGCCTAACGAACACAAAGGTGAATACCAAGTGCTCAGAAATTCCATGGTTCAATTAATTCATGCTCTACGTAAAGTAAAATTAAAAAATAAAGCTCTCCTGCTATAAGTTTTTTAGTGGCTAGACAAAAAATTATGTGCCCGTTGGGGATCAAACTCTGGTCGTCCAGTCTGTAGTCAGTCACTATACCAACTGAGCTACCACGGCTCCTGCACAAGCTCCATTGCAACTAGTAAGCAACACAGCAACTGAATAAAACGACACAAAAAATGTATTACCATATATTTATTTCTCCTGACAGAGAACAGCGGCTGTTCCGAATTGCATGCCTATTTTACTTACTGCTACTGCTTTAAATCAATTTGTATTTCATTACTACAATCCCAATGGTCATGTTTACTGCTTATTCTCCATGATATTGCTTCCACATTGATGAAAATAATAAATTTGACCACACCAAAAAAAATAAACAATGAATTTAATTTTTCCACCTTAAGCTTACGTTCTTCATAAAAGAAATGATTACCGTGTTAATCCTCTCACCTGAACCAAAATGGGATTTCCCTGGAAAGCTGCAAGGTCAAGCGGAGTGCGTCCTGTCTTGTCTGCGTGGTTCACATTTGCTCCACGATCCAGTAAGCATTGGGCAGCCTGCACTCCCCCACGGAGACAAGCCCAACCCAAGGCAGTCAGTCCCTCCCGGTCCTGCCGCAGCAAACACGCCCCTGTACCAATAGCAGAGAGACTGAGACAGAATGCACGGTAGCAACGGCTGATAAGTAACATTCCCCCCCCCCCACCCCCCAATAACACAAGAGAGGGAACCTTATGAAGGATTACCCACCAAGGATTTGAAATTCAGGAAGGCAGGATGTCTACTCCTTGGAAAAGAAATGTTTTTAGAGAAGAATTCCTACTTGTTACCTTGTACTATCTTTACACAATAATTTAATTTGATGAAACCTTAAAATACAGTAAGTAGCTGCTCCAATTGGATCAGCAATTTCCAAGCTATTAATAAATTCACAGACAGAAATCTCTTACATACTTACAATAAAATTTCTCTGAGCAACAAATCAGAATGCTTCATGTGCCTTTTCTTTCCATTGATTTCATTTTAATTCTGAAATACTTGTTAACAATAATCGTTGTTCAGAAGTCATTCATCCTGCACGTCCACGATAATTGTTTCGGAAGTCGATTTTGAACTTCAAAAAGCCAGAGGCCTAATCATGGTAGCCGAAGGACAGTAGGAAGAGGAATACAGAAAGAAAAGTCATTACACTACCTTCCGAGCAGTATTCTGCGGGATCTAGGAGTGGCAACATACTTCAGATCATCCATCACCACTCACCCTTATCCAGGAGCAATTCAATCAGTCCGACATGGCCCTCCGAGGCAGCAAGCATTAGCGCAGACCGTCCCACTGGATCACATTGTTCCAAAGGTGCATGGCTCTGCAGCAGCCTCTCTGACACAGCCCAATGACCTTCCTTCACTGCCAGCAGCAGTGGAGCCATCTCCTACAAAGTGACATACGCTGCATATGAAATTATAAATGCTGAGATGAGTCTCCTGTGAACTATATCAAGTCAAAGGGCAACAATCCATGCTCAAGCGTTTGAGACCGCTTAATCCATTCCACTTGAAAATTAAATATTACTTAGTACATTCAATAACAGCAAGTAGAACTGTTGTTTTATATTCATACAGTACCACTTCTTCCGCGTCAGAAAATTTACCCTCTAATTTCAGATAACAAACAAGTTCACAATTTTTCTATACATCACATTTCATAGGCACTGAAGGTTGTAAAAAGGTGCCCATTTAGCTTCGCCGTGTATATCTCCCCACATGAAACAACTCAGGAACCAATGAACAGCTTTCATTGAATCTGGCTTGCACAGTTTTACTAAAATCTGCCAACAAACTACCGCCACGGAGCAGATTTCTTCTTGAAAAGCCGACGGTATGCTCGGCTAGCCGATTCTCCTTCGCCTTTTATGGAACCAGAAGGTTCAATACCATAATCAGAAGAAAGTGCCACTAGACCCTATCCTGCGCCAAATAAATCCAATCCGAACCTCCACAACCTAATTCCTTAACATCCTCGTATTTAAGCCTAGGTTTTCCAAATGGTCTCCTCCGTTCATATTCCCCAACAACAATTTTGTACACATTAGACATCTCCTTTGTGCATCTCATCTTCCACAGTCTGACCATCCAAACATTACCTCAAGCCCACAAATTATGGAGCTCCCCCTGTCAATATCATTCCACCACTGCTCCATATTAACTTGCGTATCACCCGAAGTCTAAACACTGGTCCCATTAGAAGCTGCTATTCCGTACAGCTGCAGTCTCTCCCGTTCGCAGCAACGACAACAATCAACGGATGGCAAGAAACTAGTACGGATTAGCGGAGTGTAGGTTCACAGTAGACAACTTACCTTCTTGTTGACAGTAGAAATGCTGGCCCCTCGAATAAGCAGGGCCGTACAGACACTGTGGCAGCCATTAGCGGACGCAACTGTCAGTGCGGTTTCTCCGGTCAGAATGTCATGAGCGTCTGCCTTCACTTCTGCCATATCCAGGAGATACTCCACAATCTGCGACAGTGAAGAACATCGTCAAAGGCAAGAAGACTGCCGGCTGCTTGCTTATGTGGATGAATAATAAATAACAGCAACACTTTACACACATCCATACATCAATTACGCTGTTGAGTGGTACACTCATCACGAAATGTGTCTTCTGTAAATATACTCTGTTTAAAAAAGTCTACTTATGTACAAAGTGTACAATGTGGATGTGAATCATGTCTTCCCACATAGTTCATCTCCAGAACCAGACTGGATTTTAATAAAGTTGGTACTTTACGAAGGAACTGCTCCCTCACTAAGAGTGAACTTGGTTGTGGTTCACACGAGTCCCTTAGAAACCTATATGACGTAAGACAAACAGAAATTGATGACATTTCTAAAACATGGTACAAATAATTGACACGCGACAAAATGCTCTCGTTAAGATCTACAACTTTCATTTAATATTTAATAAATTACCAAAAAATGAGAGCTATCTATGAACTCTAAGCGGCAACTGACGATTCTTGGGCCACTTAATTATGCTTTGTCAAAAAATTACTTTAACTAGGACAGAACAGACGACTGTGCCTAATATGCAAATATGATGAATGACTTATAATGCAGTTGTCTGGACTGGACTGGACTGAGCTGAGACCCACCTCGGTGTGCCCCTGCGCAGCAGCTGCGACCAACGCTTGTTGCGCAGCCTCGCCCAGCTCCACTTCTGTGTCAGGGTTGCGAAGCACCCAATCACATGCCAGCAGATAGGCAACCACATTTAGGCAGCCATTCCTCGCAGCATGGACCAGGGGGCAACGGCCAGCCGTGTCCGCACGTCCCAGGCTTGACCCAGCCGCCACTAGCTGGCGCACGACCTCACAGTGGCCTCGAGCTGATGCCAGCGAGAGGGCCGTGCAGCCCTGACTATTCGTCAGTTCCACATCTGCACCGAACTCCAGCAAAACAGATACCATCTCGGCAATACCCTCATGTGCATACATGCACAGCACTGGTGCACTGCCCAGGAACTCAGTTACGTGGTTGGGAGAAGCCCCAGCCAGCAGTAACAGACGGGACACCTGTAACAACACACGACAGGTTACACCAGTGTCACACCTTTACATATGGCAGGATGCTACATACGTCATGTATTATTTACTGCGAGACTCTCGGGCACACGCGTGCGCGCATGTCAAAGCATGCATAAAATTATTCCTCACACCAACTAAATATTAAAATCATAAATACCTATTCCAAAAGAGCACAGTATTAGCAAGCATACAGAAATAAGAGAAACGCAGAGGAAGCGACAATTTAATAACGATCAGCAGCACAGGCCGGTAAGATGATAAAACATCACTGATCAAGATCTCACTGTTGTTACCAGACTTTGTAAAATGCATGCAGTTGCTCCTTCACAGACGTAACAGTGCACAATGTACAGTACCTTAACGTTAGGGCTGTAGATATTTCTGAGCATGCAGAGGGCCGCTGACACGTCCTCAGAACTGCTGGCCACCCAGTGAGCTTGAAGGTCACGTGATGAGTATTTGTGCAATGTCATATTCTTGTACACGTGCGCTTTCAAAATGTGATGCCCGAGCTCCAAGGTCTTTTCCGCGTCAAGAGGAACTTGAACGCGAGAGAGCCGCAACGCAATACCAGCATGACCTGAACGTAGGTCACACAGAAACTTGCGACTCTCGCCTTCGTCGCGACGGATGAGCCATTCTCGGAATGACGGGTGGAAGAACATGTACGTGTTGTCCAGTCGCTTCACCAATAGACCTGACAGCAACTGAAACAAGATTATAAATGTGCACAGCGTACATTTAACAAACACATTCAGAAATAAGCTCAAGTTCTCAAACAACAAAACTGATTTATCCGTTACGACTTGATTTTATGTGTAAGAATGGAAGCAGTGATGTTAACACGCCTTGTTCTGGAAACAATCTGAACCACGTCCCTTCATATACTGGCCACAGTTTTACACAATATCGATGTCTGTTTTCATCAATCAATTTCTGGCATCATGGCAACCTTGCAAAGCACGTTTAGAATCTCTTAAACAGATTTTACTGTCAGTAATAATCTAAATGTAAAGTGATCCATGCAGTAGCAAATATAAAACAATGAAAGAAAACAATGTAGCGTGATGAACTCGCATTATCAGAAGCGAAACATTCGTAGAAAAAGCTCACCTTGAACCTCTGGAGAAATTCATTCCATGGCAGGAACTGGTTTGTGTGCAGAGAGTTGATGGAATAATAAATTTCCAGCAATGTAAGAGGGTAGAGGGCTGCTAAACACACGCTCAAAATGGGTGCAACCTTCTCAAATGATCGCAGTGTTGGGAAGCGTAAGTTAAAGTGCAGTAAGAAGATCTGTGCCAACGACACCGGAAGAACCTGCAGAAATTTTCAATTGGTTAGCGCATGTTCTTAATTAACAACTGGGTGGTCGGCATTAGCCACACCAATATGAAGCTACCCCATACCACACATATGATGGACAGTAGTGACCACACTGCATCCACTCATACCATCTGTGTAATATTTTATATCACATGCATACGAGGTTCTTCCTCTGGATTGGGACATTGTGTGGACTCATAAGTCGATATAAGCGTTTCTGAAGAGAAGACTCTCTCCATCTTCAGGGCTGAAAACAGTGTGAAAATCTTCTGGTCTGTTGTGATCGAACAATAAATTCCATGAAAATATAAGCACAGAGAAGATTTTCACCCCCTAGCATACTCAATCCTTGTGATCATCAAGAGAACACAGGAGGGTCAAAACTCCAAAAAAGATGTCCCGAGTTTCATTCCTAGCAAGGGCAAATGTCAGAAACGAGTCACAACAGACGAACAGAGCCAAGACCAAAGTTGTTTGACTCTTTAACTCGAAGACGAGATTGCAGAAACAAAGTCCACAGCCCTGAAGAACTGTCCTGGGTGTGATTCCTGCTCAGAATATTAATGTCACAGATCGCCATCAAGTCTAAAGGTGTTTTTGCAGGTAGACTGAAGGCTAGAAACACAAAAATCGTCCTGGGTTCCAGTCCCAATGAAAATGGTTTCAGACTTTTGGAAACTAAGCAAAAGAGAAAAATGGTGCCAACGTAAAATTCGTTTTAGTAAGATTACAGGAAATAAGGTCACAGACACAAAAACTGTCCTTGTTTCAAACCCTGGTGGGTTTTCAATTATACATAGTCAAATGATCACGCCTGTGATAAGCAATAATAATTGATAATAAATTTAGGCGTTCGTCAGATTTCACTGCAGGCACCCTGCTAGTGCATTATAAAAGGGATTCATCATAAGATTCTGAAGTATGGTCACTCTATAAGTGACTATAATTTGCTCAATTCTCACTGAACCTAACAGGGCCAGACAGTCAAATGATTTCGCCAACACGATCAACAAGTAGTACGACAAAATTTCTACATCTCGGTAGCCTGCTCGCACTTGCCTTATATCCAGAAGACTTGGCCACCAAGTGTCCTCTCTCCAGCAAATCTAGTGTCAGTTTGGCAAAGAGGAAGGACCCACGACTCAGCCCAAGCAGGTGCTGAGAGAAACGGAACTGCGAACTGGAACCACCGTCCAGCTTCCCTGAAGTCGACGCCACATTACTCTGGATGCTGGGGCTGTTGTTCAGACGGAAGTTAATGTAGTCCAGTAGGTCCTTCTGCAGGTTCTCATTTGAACTGACCTTGTCAAGACTGCAAATTGAAATTATAACATAAGAGCAGAGTAACGTACATTTGTACGGCAAACGTTGGCATGCCAGCACAGCGAGAAAGGTACTTGGACACACGAAACCCGCTCACAGACATACAGAGAGAGTGTGAGAGTCTGTCACCGAGATGATGCTCCAAGAAAAAATCCTTAGTTTTTTGCGTTTACCTGATCCTGTAGTATGGAAGCTCACTGGTTACTTCTTGCAGCTGCGTTCGGACTGTGGCGACAATTTTCAGCCATGATGGAAAATGCGGTGAATGGCGTACAAGGAACGAGGCAAGCGTGTCTCCGCGGTCAGGTCGGTGGTACTCCGCCTCACAGAGGGCATCCACTAGAATGATGCAATTCTCATTGGGAATCTTGCCTATGTGTCGCAGATTGCTCAGTGGCTCTAGAACGCCTCTTGCAAATGCTAAGTCAGGGTCTGCAATGCACTCCTTGATAGACACAGCACCCTAGAAAAACATAGCAACATTAGAAAGATGTAAACCACGCCACATTCATTCTTTGCACGCCTGCCTTCAGAAGAAGAACTGACCTGAAGGTGTGGCTCACTCAGGAGGTACTCCCTGTATGCCAGCAGCTGGGGAGCCTGGCACAGCTGAGCCGCCAGTGAGTGGATGAAGTCAGGCACAAGGCACGTGTTGTTGTTATCAGCCTATAACAAAACACTCTGTGAGGATCACACATCAGTTGCAACCTAAAGAATCAAGAATGTGTTTCCACAACCCATGTTGACAGACACTTGGATAGTGAATCAGATGCATCACGAGATTCCACTGCTAGGCAAAACATCAGAAAGGAGAAGCACTTTCAAAATATTCATAGGTGCCCTTTCAAATCCAGACCTTATAAAAAAAAAAAGGTATCAAGAAATTACTAAAATACTAGAACATGCAATAGATGTGGACTAAAGACCCATCAAAAATGCAAAATTAATCAAATTTTCCATTAAATTTCACCACAAAATGGACAGAAATACGCACACATTCCAGCAGATATTAAACAAACACACACTGTTGTGCGTAGTACGCCAAAATCCACCAGAAAAATGGCCATATAAAGAACAGATCGGTGATGAAAAGTACTGCTACAGGTCACAGAATAAAAGAGACAAAAATTCGTGGTGCTTACCTGACAGAAATGATATGCAACAACGTGCGAGGCTAGGTGGCGAATCCTCTCCGAGACTAGACTGATTTGGCAGTAAATGCTCTGAGACCCACCAGGCCTGTCTTTCCCATTGCACACAAACGGATCTGCAAGATAAGCAGAACCAGAAATGTAAGCACTAAGCAGTGCACTTATTTTATCATTGG